ATTCCGGAAGCATTTGGGAGCGGAGAGGTCAACAGGACCCCGCCCACACCCCGACACGTACCCCTTTCACCCGGGCCCGTACGAGTAAACAGCGCCCGGAACGCGGCCAGTTTGAATGAGTCATCGACTGGCTCTGCTCCCGGTGTCCGGGCTCACTCCCAGCCACGTCACCGCGTTGTCCCTCGGGGCGGCGACGTACGCGGGCAAGGTCAGCTGCCAGCCCCGCCTCTGGAGCACGGCCACTGACCGCGGACGGGCCTTCGGCCGGCTGGGGATGGACCGAGGGCTGACCGCTGGTCCTGGCGACCACCGCCGACGTCACCTGGGGCCAGCCGAGTCGGTGCTTTGTTACGGCTGTCTGATGGGGTGATCGTATCAATCTGTCGAATGGTTCGCAGTCAGACGCCTGCACCGTGAGGTTTTCATCGGAATATGTTCTTTCACGGAACCTGATCCCGCAACAGTAGGTGGAGACAAAGGGTGGCATCGGCAACTGTATACTGGTAACTGATCCATCAAAATCATCGGTCAGCCAGTGTCGCGGTCATTTGTGGTCCCAACAGAGCTGACGGGTAGGAGTCATTTGTGGATTACAAAGCAGTGAAGCGCTGAGGCAGCTCCTCACGGAACGGAAGGTTGAGGTAACACGCGCGGTACAATGGTCACACTGGCTTCCTTGCCAACGCCCCATGGTCCCTAGATCATTGATTTGGAGGCCGGATGTCAATACAGTGGAGGGGATGTCGTTGACGTTGTGATTAAGTATCAGTACTTTTGGCTCCAGCGGCTGCAATGTGGATGATTCTGGAACATTTTCGGAGGACTGGCAGATGGGAATCACGTTTGAATTACAGAAGCCACAGTTGTATGTCTTTTTGACCCACACTTCCCCGAGACCGATGGGAGGCCGTCTCTTTAGAACCACAAGTACCGCAGAGCTGAACCAAACTGACACCTCCTGCACTTACCAAATATGGTTGCTTGAGAGCCACAGCTGACAAAGTGAAGACCCACACGAACGTCCCTCTCCTCAGGGCGCGGGAGGGAGGGGACAGCGACCGGCGGGAGGGAGGGGGACAGCAACCGTTTATCACGGCTGCCGCCTCGGCGCGAGCTGCGACGCTTCCCTGAACTGGACGTCCCTGAACTTCCCTGAGCTTCCCTGAACTGGGCGTGTTTGCACGCCGGATTCACCGGATGCTCCGGGCATGATGCGACTCTCGGCTTCGCGAGAAGCACGGTCCCTGCGGCGGCGGCCGCCGCCCCGTTCACTGACTCATTCAATCATTCAGAAAGCGGCGGGACAGTTAAACGTCAACATTGTCAGTGAGCGACGAGCATTCGGCGTCGGTGTTTCAGAGGCTGTCTCAGAGGGTGTGTCGTGCCGGTGCGCGGGGCGATCAAACACGCGCGGGCGGCTGGCTGGCGGCTGACCGTGAGCTGGCTGGCGGCTGACCGGGGGCTGGCTGGTGGCTGACCGAGGACTGGCTGGCGGCTGACCGGGGGTTGGCTAGTGGCTGACCGGGGAATGGCTGGCGGTTAACCGGGCGGCTGGCTGGTGGCTGACCGAGGACTGGCTGGTGGCTGACCGGGGACTGGCTGGCGGTTGACCAGGCGGCTGGCTGGCGGCTGACCAGGCGGCTGGCTGGCGGCTGACCGAGGACTGGCTGGCGGCTGACCGGGGACTGGCTGGCGGGCTGACCGGGGGCTGGCTGGCGGCTGACCGGGCGGCTGGCTGGCGGTTGACCGGGCGGCTGGCTGGCGGCTGACCGGGGCTGGCTGGCGGTTGACCGGGCGGCTGGCTGGCGGCTGACCGGGGCTGGCTGGCGGTTGACCGGGCGGCTGGCTGGCGGCTGACCGGGCGGCTGGCTGGCGGTTGACCGGGCGGCTGGCTGGCGGCTGACCGGGGGCTGGCTGGCGGCTGACCGGGCGACTGGCTGGCGGCTGACCGGGGGCTGACGACGGACGCCCTGTCGGCGGCCGCCCGGCCGGTCCGGCACCGCCCGCATCCCGTCGACGTCCTCAGTCGCCGTACGTGATCGATCTGCACACCAGACGGCGCCACCAAAAACAAACAGGCCGCTCCCGGTTAGGACACGACCGCAGACGAGCCGCGCCTCCCCACGTGACAGACCTGACCGTTCGCTGCACCTCCACACCTGGCTGACCTGACCTCTCGCTGCGCCTCCCCACGTGACTGACCTGACCGCTCTCCGTCGCCTTCGGCGAGAAGTCAGGCCAGTCACGTGGGGGAGTGTTTAGTGTCTGACTCACGGACAGACTATGTCTGACCGTCCAGACCGTGTCTGACTCACAGTATCTGGTGAGTTAGACAATCTGATCCGCCAGACACTCGCCGTCCCGTCGGCCCTTGTTTCGACCTGCTGTCGTGATGGGGACAAGTTCGGCGCCCATCCCTGGACTTGGCACGTTCTGCCAGCGGAAGCTCCACCGGCGCCAGTGCGTGGCGTCCAATAAGGTCTGCATTGGTCCCATCAAAGGTCATCGAAGCCCGTGAGGATCGTGGGAACCCCGTTACATAAGTATACCCCTGCGGGGCGGGAACGACCTTACATTTCCGCCTGGCTTAATATTTGACAAGATTGCTGCCCATTTTGGGAAAACACTTTTGGCTCCAGAGTCTGTGTCATCAAAAGCAAGCCTTGTTTTTTTTCGACTTACGAGTTGTCCCGCTCAAAGAAACATCGCGTCTGCAGTTTGTGGTCAATCATCCACGACGGATCGTACCACAGATGGCCATGCGCGACCTGGCGTGCACGAGCTGTACGGCAACTTCATGTTAGCACCCGGGACCGGTGCACAACGAAGTTGTTGCAACACAATGAGGCATTATTTCCCCTCATTGCTGATACGGACCATTGCAGACTGTGCCGCTGGAACCTGTGTTCACTGATCGCTCGCGGCATATCATAGCGCGCAATACCCTGCCTAGCGCTTATGGGGAATAAGCATACAGCATTACTGATATAAGTATGATCAAGCAGTGTAACTCATGCCTCTTGCTTTATACTGGTCCTACTATCATGATAGGGTGTCATTGCCCGGCACGCGCTTATCGTGTTGATACTACGCTTTCCTCCATACTTTGTACCAGGTGTTTGTGTCGGGGCCTGCGCCGGCTGCATGCACCAAAACGCTAACACTGTGAGCCGTGTTTCGAGCATTCCCCGCCGTTGTGGGTGCTTTGCGCACCCTCACCTCGTACGTTCTTCTTTGACGCCCGAATCTTCTTGCCTCACACCACCTCCCCTCGTGAACGGCAAGTCGGTTGACCTTTGACCTCGCCGTGACCACCATGACGAAGCTGTGTCTGCGGCGGCCGGTGACCCCAGCCTCAAACTGGTGCAGCCGCTGTGATGAGGCCGGTGCTTGACTCCCCAACTCCGAGTCGCCTCCGACCCTGCCTGACCGTCTCCTGCGCACCCGCTGGCAGAGGGCTGCCGCTCGCCGTCCGGCAAGTACCACAGCAGCAGCGAGCAGTGGCAGGAGGACGACTGCACCACGTGTCGCTGCGTGGACGGCGCCCACACCTGCCAGAGGCCCATGTGCAAGGTCACCTGCCGACACCCGCGCACCGTGCCGGGCCGCTGCTGCCCCGTCTGTGACGGTCAGTACCACCCGCCTCCTCCCCAGGCTCCGGCCTGGCGGTGGTTACCTCCCGTGGCCGGGTCTGTGACAGACAGCGGCGTGTGCAAGCCGCTAGAGAGCGTCAGACCAGCCTCGGGCCGGCCGTCAGACCCGCCTCGCGCCGGCCGTCAGACCCACCTCGGGCGGCCGTCAGACCCGCCTCGGGCCGGCCGTCAGACCCCGCCTCGGGCCGGCCGTCAGACCCGCCTCGCGCCGGTCGTCAGACCCGTCTCGGGCCGGCCGTCACACGCTCGTGTCGGACAGCTTGCATGTCTGTTGTAGAATATGGAGATCATCAGGCTTAGTTTCGTGAATTATTGAATTACGTTGCACTGACTGTATTGGCTTGGGTACGGTTGCAGCCGCATGACGAAGTCTGTGCCGACGCTGTGGCGACTTGTCCGTGCTTGTTCTGTCTGCCACAGCCTCGGAAATTTACACTTAGTAATGAGTGAGCTTATGTTTAGATGTGCCCGTCTGTTTCTGTCTTTGTGACAGGCTGCCTTGGTAGAATGGCAGCCATGAGTCATATAGATCTGCCAGCCAAGCGGCCGAGAAAAGACGCACACTAATGCTATAGTAAGGCGATGTCCGTTGCTGGCTTTTGGGATATCATATTTATGTTTTTAAACTATGTTTCACGTTATTAGCTTCAACAGGTGACTCCACGGCGCCATCCATGTCGTTGCGTGAGGCCATGGTGTCATTGGTTTTATAACGTGATATCACGCTGCCGCGAATCGTAGTGTGACGTCACGGCGTCACGGCCAAAAGGTGGGACGTCGTGACGATGTTAGTTTCAGAAGGCGTAATCGGTTTTGCGCTGTGACGTCAGCGCGCCATTCGTGTCCGACTGTTACCCCGCACACACGCTATTTTCGGACTCTGACGTCACGTTATCTGTTTTAGAGTGTAACGGCACGCGGCCGCTGGCTTCCCAGTATGACGTCACGGTGCCGTAGTTTCAGACTGTGACGTGGCGTGCCGGCACGGCTACCGCACGGACGGCGAGGGAAACCCGCTCTGCGAGTGTCTGTCCGCCGACGAGGTGGCCAGGAACCCGCCCAGGTGTGTCGCAGCATGGCTGGCTGCAGGAAGAGGTGTCCGCACGGCTTCAAAGTGGACGCGAACGGCTGCGAGAGGTCAGATTGCCGTCGTGGCTTATGGTGTGCCAGGCGGGCTGCGAGAGGTCAGATCGCCCGTTGTGACGTGTGGTGTGCCAGGCGGCTGCGATGAGGTCAGATCGCCGTCTGTGACGTGTGGTGTGGCAGGGGGCTGCGATGAGGTCAGATCGCCGTCGTGACGTTGTGCGTGTGGGCAGGAGGCTGCGTGTGACGTGTGGTGTGGCAGGGGCTGCGAGAGGTCAGATCGCCCGTTCGTGACGTTGTGGTTGTGGCAGGGGGCCTGCGAGAGGTCAGATCGCCGTCGTGACGTGTGGTGTGGCAGGGGGCTGCGAGAGGTCAGATCGCCGTTCGTGACGTGTGGTGTGGCAGGGGGCTGCGAGAGGCTCAGATCGCCGTCGTGACGTGTGGTGTGGCAGGGGGCTGCGAGATGGTCAGATCGCTGTCGTGACGTGTGGTGTGGCAGGGGGGGCTGCGATGAGGTCAGATCGCCGTCGTGACGTGTGGTGTGGCAGGGGACTGCGAGAGGTCAGATCGCCCGTCGTGACGTGTGGTCTGTGACAGGGGGCTCTCTGACTGACCCTCTGATTGACCCAACGCTGAACACTAAATAGCGGAAGTCACTAACGGCACGACGATGACAGTTTCAGGTTGAATTCCTGGACCAGTCGAGCTGCAAGGTGACAGATCATGTCCGGGGACACCCCACTGGGACGTAGGCCCGCAATGCCACAATTAGCTCGCTTCGAGCCATTTCATCTTCATTTATGCTGCACAGTTGGGACATTTGGACGCTCTCAAGTACAAGTAAGCTAAAAGTCCGGCAGTGTCGTCATTGCCGTCAGCAGCGCCTGTCCTTGCCTGTCAGCCGTCCGCGAGACTCACCCACCGCGCCACCTCCAGGTGCAAGTGCAAGCGGTGTTGCCGCACGCTGAAGAGCTTGCTCCCTGAGCTGCGCCGGCGGTCTGGCGGTGAACGAACGCGGCTTGTCCCGAGTGTCGCTGTCGGCTGGAGGAGGCGCCCCGCCCACGGCCGCCGGGCCTCAGCTGCGTCACGCCAGGTGACTGAGGAGCCGCTGCGTCTCGGTCGCAGGCCCGCTCTCCTCGGGCCTCTCAGGCCCCGCTCTCCTCAGGCCTCGGTTCCCGCTCTCTGGAGGCCTCTTGGGCCATGCTCTTCTCAGGCTTCGGCCCCCGCTCTCTGGAGGCTCTTGGGCCATGCTCTCCTCAGGCCTCTCAGGCCTCGCTCTTGTCAGGCATCTTAGGCCCCGCCCCCCCGCGCGCGCGCCCGCACGTCAGCTGTAAGAGAAATGACGCCGAATCCAGCACCGTGCAGACAATGTAGCGATTGCATGAAGACATCATATTTGTAATAGTTCTGTGCAGAGGGGTGCAAAACATTCCATGCCATAAGTATGTCATCGACAAACATGTCAAAACATGTCATGGCTCCTCATGGTGTTGTTCTCTGCGGCCCCCGCCGTCTGCCAGGGGATCAGCTCGTTGCCGCAGCCGGCGGCGGCGCGTGACGGGGGCGCTCCCGGTTTCAGACGGAGCGATGCACGCGGAGGGTGAGGCGTGGCACGACGGCTGCCGCCAGTGCTACTGCCACGCCGGCGTCGAGCTGTGCGCCGTCATCGCGTGTCCCGTGCCGAGCTGCGACACCCGGAGATCAGGAGCGGCCAGTGCTGCCCCACCCTGCGCAGGTCAGCCCGTCACGGCCGCCAGGCTCACGGACAGCGTCCGTCGGCGGATGACCCATGTGCTGCGTCATAGGCGGCCGGGAACCCGTGACCTGCAATGCACAGTCCGCTGTCGATAGCGCCTCCATTGTGTTCGTGGCCGGTATAGTGATACCGGGAAAACGGCGTGCTGTCCGCGTTGTCGGTGAGGACGTGTTTTGTGCTTAGGCAAGCTGGCTGTGGGTCCCCGGTGTGGGTGGGAGCTAAGCTGACAACATGATCCAGGTGGCGGCGATATCGCGAAGATGGCTCATCCGTCCCTCCCGCTTAAACCGCCATTACGGCCAGATGTTACTTCAACATTAATAAACTTCAAGCAAATGCAAGAGCTATTATCGAGCCGGAAGCCCTCCTAAAGAGCTCTCAACCATCAACGACGATACCGACGACCAGCTGGCACCACAGCCATTCAGGGATGGCCCAGTATCGAATAGAGCGTGGCCTGACCTCTCGCCGTTCTACTTCTAGACGCCGCCGAGCCTGCCGCCTCACCACCCGAACACCACCGTCTGCCAGGCGGTGGATGGCGGCACGTACGCCGACGGCCAGAGCTGGCGACT